AATAAGGTTGGTAACAAAGCATCTTGTTTCACACACTTGCTGATAAGAATCACCTGGGGCTCCTGTTAAACATACAGATTCTCAGGCCTTACCCTAGACCTTTTGAATCAAGTCCCAGGCGATTCTTACCAGGCAAGTTTAGAAAAATACTGAGTGAGCATATTGTTTTACACACCTTGCACACTATTCTAAGTAGGGAGGTGACAGTAAAGTTTTCTCTACCTAAGCAAAGGACAAGTCCTTATAATTTTGATGATTATGAATTGGGGCCTGGCCTCTCTAAATTGGTGTGAATATATTTATTAAGATTTTGCCTATGGAACCTGGATTTTAGATTTCTCTGGAGATGTCTTTGGATGTCTAAGGAAGGAGCTAAAATTTTAAGGAGTAACCTCTGCCCTTTAACTTTTATGTATTTCTTGTAAGAGTGAGGGAATGTACATCATGTTGTGGAAGCTCAGTGTGTTGGTAATACTGGGGATTTAAAGCATTGTTGTTGGGGAAGGGCTTCAAATTGCCTGAATGGTGGTTAAGTTGGAATTTTTCTTGTGGTTTATTTGGGACACATTTTCTCTGTATAGTTTAGATATGAATAATTTGGTAGGCTTTGAGATGTTGGTGTTTTAACATTCATTCATTTCATAATGAATAACGCTGACTATCCTTTATGAGCAAATCACTGTACCATGGGCAAGTGCAAATAGTTCAACCTGTATGTCTTGCCCTCTAAAAGCAAGAGAGATAAATAATTTTTTAAAAATAACTAAAGCACACAGGTTGATCCTAAAATTCATATGGAAAGGCAGAGGACCCAGAATAGCCAAAATAACCTTGAAAAAAAGCTGGTAGGCTCACACTTCCCAGGTTCAAAACTTACTGTAAAGCTACAGTAATAAAGACAGTGTTGTGCTGTCATCGGACAGACAGATAGATCAACAGAACAGAATTGAGAGTCCAGAAACGAACCCTTACGTTTATGCTCATTTGATGATGGTTCAAGTGGGAGAAGAGTCGTCTTTCCAATAAAGGGTTGGGACAGCTGGATCCCCCCTGCAAAATAATGAGTCTGGGCCTTTATCCTGCACCACATACGTAATCGAACTCAAAGTGGAAGACAGACCTAAATGTAAGAGCTAAAACTATAACACCTGGAGAAAGCACAATAAATCTTCATGACCTTGGGTTAGACAATGGGTTCTTATATAGGACACCAAAAGACCAAGTAACCAGAGAAAATAAGACTTCATGAAAATAAAGTAGTTTTGTGCTTCAAAGAACACCATCAAGAAAGTGAAAAGATAACCTACAGAATGGGAGAAAATATTTGCAAATCATTTATCTGATAAGAAACTTGTATCTAAAATATATAAAGAACTCTTCAATTTAACACTAAAAAGAAAATCCAGTTTAAAATTTGGCAAAGAATTTGAATAGACATTTCTCCAAAGAAGATATACAAATGGTCAAGAAGCACATGGGGAAATCCTCAAAATTATTAATTATTAGGGAAATGAAAATCAAACCCACAGTGAGATACCACGTCACACTCACTGGAATGCCTATAATAATTTTTTTTAAAAGGCTGTAAGTATGGACAAAAAGGTGGAGAAATTGGAAACCTCACACCTTGCTGACAGGAATGTGGTATAGCAGTTACTAGATATATGAAGCATATAGTTAGTATCGGACTCATTAATTCCACTCTGTGCAAAGAAATGTCCATCAACTGATAGATGGATAAGCAAAATGTGGTATATTTATACAATGGAATATCATTTGGTGATTAAAAGGAATGAAGTACAGATACATGATACAGTATGGGTAAAAACATCATGCTGAGTGAAAGAAGACAGTCTTGTATGATTTCATTTGTGGGAAATAAAATAGGCGAGTCAATAGACATAGAAAATAGATCAGTGGTTTGCAAGGTCTGGAGAAAGTGGAAAATGATGACTAATTGCTTGGGAGCTCTAGGCTTCTTTTTGGGGTGATGAAAATGTTCTGAAATTGGTGTGATGGTTACACAACTCCATGAATATACTAACAGCCACTGAACTGTATGCTTTAAAAAGATGAATTTTATGTTACAGGAATTATATTTCAATAAACCTGTCGTTTTTTTAACAAAAGAACTGTTACACAAGGTATTTTGATGATAAATGCCCCAAAGAAGAATTTCAGATGATGGAGATATTATTTCTAAGCTGGGTGGTAGGTAGATTGAAGGTTTGTGAAAGAAGTGTGTTTGAGTTGAGTAGCTTTTAAGGAAAATGAAAATTTGAATATGTAGCTATTTCCAAAAGGAAGAATTCTGAGTTCCAGCATTCAGCATGAGACAAGATGCAAAACATGGGGATGTCTTTAGAAGGGAAGGTGTTGTTCGGTTTATCATTTGTGCAGGGCCTGTGAAAAGATTTAATCCAAGACATAATCGAAGGGCAGGTTGGGCCCAGATTAGGGGGAACCTTAAATGCCAACATAAGGAATTCTCTGCTATATTTGGTCAGCTCCAGGAAGTTGATTAAAAATGACAGACCTCAGAGCTGTATATTGGAAAAATTAATCAACAGCAGAGTGTTGCGTTAAATGGAAGGTAGAGAGCTCACCTGTGAAGATACCAGTTAGGAGTCTGTTGCCATTGGTTTGAGAAGGCTTTCCTCTTAAATTACCTAAATCTGGAATTACTTTGATTAAGTTCTGGGCCTTCTGATAGCAACTTGGTGAATTTGAAAAGCCTCACACACACATGTTATTCTACTTCATTTCCTGGGAAAATGAATCAGTTTCCTAGTAAAGAGCTGTCTGGGTTACTAAACAATAGTGTGTGGGCCCTTGCTTGGCCAACCCATTCAGTTCAGCTTCTTTTTCTTCTATTGCTCACCACCTGTGTTTTGTTTTTATTTTCCCCCTTTCCTTCCTTCCTCTCCCTTTTCTCTCTTCCTTTTGTTCCTAACTGGGTCTTCTGTCTCCTTTTCCTTCAGCTTTCCCTCCCCACCTCCAATCATGAGACGGTTTAGCAGAGAAAATTACCAGTATTTTTTTGTACAACATAAAGAAAACTTGATATTGGCTATATAAAGAAAAGAGAATGAAAAAAATCTTTTCATGAAGCATATATGGAGCCATTAACATATATAGGTGGTGTCAATGAACATTTTAGTGGAAAGTATGCTACTAATGATAAATTTTTTTCTAGGTAAATTTTATATTAAATGAAAATTCGTCCAAGCCTATAACTTATAGATCTCATGAGGATCTCAACATTCCCATTTATGTCTTGCCATTAAAGTCTCTGTCAGTTTGATGTCTCCTGTTTTGATGTCCTGAATAGCAAACTTAAGACCCTGATTGTGCCTCAGGTACTACATTACAAAGTGGCCACCACATTCCTGAGACATAGGGAACTAAAAGATTGTCACATTTCAGAGGTTCAGGATGAGGTTACCTACATTGTCCTAAATTATCCCAAATAAATGATAAAATTTATAATTTCTACCAAACACTTTTGATCTTGGATTACCTTGATAAGGACATTTAAAAGATGGCTACAGGCATTTTCGTTAAGGTTAGATTTTCCGGTATGCATATGTAGTTAGACTTAGCTGTAGTGCAGGTATGCAGATGGAGTTATCCAAACTCAAAAGGAAGCCTGTTTCTTTAAAGAGTTTGTCAGGCTTTATTTGTTTTTTTGTAGCGGGGAGTGCTGGTAGGGTGGCTAAAGACAGCACTGGTGTGTGGGTTGGTTTTTCAAGCGAGACAGTTAAATTTGTGTTGAGACCTAATATTGAAGACTAATGCTGTGATATGATATCCTGAGGGGAAGGGAAGGAGGCGGGGAGGGATAGAAACAAAGAGGGAAGGGGCCCAGGCCAGGGCCTCGCCAGGTTTGGAGTCAGGGACGCTGACTTTTTTTTTTAAATTGAATTTATTGCATGACAGTGATTCACAAAATCATACAAGCTTCAAGTGTACAACTCAAAACATTATCTGCATACTGCATTGTGTGCCAATCGCCCCAAGCAAAGTCTCTTTCTGTCCCCATCCCCCCTTTGGTTACCTCTGCCTACCCTCTACCTCCCTTTCCAGGAGGGCTACCTCTGAAGCTTAGCTCCATGACTTTGTTTGCCTGACCTAAGTTGCTTCACCTTTCTGAGCTTAAGTTTTATCAACATAAGATGAGGTAGTTGGGAAGATCAAATAAATTAACTCATGAGAAGATGTGTTGCCTGACATAAATGTTGAGTCCTGTGGAGACTTTAGAGAGTTTGCCATTCATATTTTAGTAATAATATTTTAATGATATATACAACAGTTTAAAACTCTCCTTTTGTGTAAATATAGTTCTAGAGGTATAATGTTCTGAATTACTTAAACCTTGGTTTGTGAAACCTGGTTGTAGCTAATACTCAGTAAATGGAAGTTAGTTGTAGTCCAGAAATTTATGCTCAAGGTGGCGCTGTTTCCCCATAAATTTGGTGATGTTTTAATTTTATCCCTAAGTGTTCTAAGTCAAGCAAATAACTGGATATATATTTAGGACTGTCTGCCTTCTATATTCCCCAGGCCTTCTTACCTTGTAAGAACCCACCCAATACCACATCCTAGAAATACACACTTATCTCATATTTACTATAACTTATATATGAAAGTTGTCATAATGAACTAGTTGACCTGTTATATTTTTGAAGACATTTGTTAAAATGGAACTTCAGATTTTACAGCTTTTGTATTTTGTAGTCAATTATGTTTTTAGATCTCAAATATGTGAAAAGCCTATAGACCCTGGTTCCTAATGGGATAAAGGAACTAATATAGTTCTGTTCTTCTTCACACTGATTATAGTACAAGGGAAGATATTTATGCCAAACTTCATTTTTGCTGGTAATCTGTGTCAAGACCATCATATGAATTGTTTCCAGCTTGTCTGAAACTACACATGTATTTTACAGGTGTGATCATTCTGAGCTTGATGTGAATGATTTTGTTTTGTTTGTTTTTAGATCCGGGGATTTCTGTCACGGTTTGATAATGTCCTTCCTGTGAGCCTGGCATTTGACAAATGTACAGCTTGTTCTTCCAAAGTAAGTCGTTCTGCATTTAAGGGGTTTGTCTTTTAAAATAAGCCCATCAGCCTTACTGGACAGAGGCATTAAAATCAACTGAGGGCTTTTTGGGGGGAAAGGTGGGGTCTAAAAAACCAGAAAGGACTTTGTTTTCATTAACCTGTGTTCATTCTTACAGAGTAACCAGTCTGAGACAGCTGGATTTATAGTATACAGAGAGAGACTGAATTAGCTATTTTAGTTTTATATCCGCAGTTGCATCTGGTAATTTTGTCTTGAACTTGAACTCTACTGGTCTTTGTTCTTCCCCATAGGGTTCTTCCCTCCCATGGACCATCATAGAGCACCTTCTTTTTTTCGTCTCTGCTTTTTTTAAAAATTGAATTTATTGGGGTGACATTGGTTCACAAAACCATACAGTTGTCAAGTGTACAACTCAATAAAACTATCTGCGCACTGCATCATGCACCCATCTCCCCAAGCAAAGTCTTTTTCGGTCCCCATCCCCCCTCTTTACCCACCTCCACCTAGCTCCCACCCCACTTTCCCTCTGGCTGCCACCACACTGTCGTCTGTGCCTGTGTGTTACATCATAGAGCAACTTTTAAGTGTTATTCAGACGATGGGGGATACCAGGCAGACCTGATGGTGTATCTTTTGGAGAGCTATATAATGACAAAGAAAAGTAAATGGAGATTAGAGGCCTGGAGGGGGAGCCAATAAAAGTTCAGCTTTGATCTTTCCAGAGGCTCTAAAAATAGAGCCGGTATGTCCTCCATTATAATGGGAAACGGCTGATATATATAAAAACTACAGTGATGGCATCTCATTTTTTAATAGACTTTGAGATAGTCTGAGTTATTTTTACATTTATGCTTCGTGTTATAGCTAATTTCCTTTTGGATGTTTCTTTAAGCCTCTAACACCCAGTGATTTAACCTGAACTTTTAAAACTCATGATTTTTGATAAAACTTTCTTGTTTAGGTATTATGCAAAATAGCGTTGGGGTCCTTAATCCCAAACTCTGGCCTCTTGGTTATAATTTGGGACTTCTTTGCTGTGTAGCCTACATCTGGCAGTATGGAAGGAATTAAATTCTGGGGAAATTCTCTCGATTCTGAGTTGACAAGCTTACTTTGAAAACTTCACTTGGGGCATAGAAGCACAATCCTGAGCAGTTTCTCTAAAATGTTAACTCAGATGTGGCAACAATGTTGGTGAAATTGGTTAATTTGGGGTGCTCAAAATTTTTGAGTGATTTTTTTTCTTCAAAAGTAAACTAAGCTCCTGCTTTATCAAGTGTCTATGCTGAGATTTAAAGTATATCATTTGACAGTAGTTGGTCATGAGCACATTCTGTAGTTTCTTTAAGGTGTCATATCTGCCCAAGTCAAGGACTCAGGAATGTCTATGTGCACTTCTGTCTTCAGAAATGCAAGTTTTGGGATTATATGCTTTTCAGTGGAGCACATTTTTTTTTTTCTTTGAATGGCTGAGCTAATTGGTCTCAAAATAACTTGGCAATAGTTTTAATTTTTATATTGAAATCATTTGGCACAGGTGCCAGTTTTTCTGTGGCTTTATGTATATCTGGCTAGTTAATGAAATAAAGATAATTGGGCTCTCTAAGTGAAATGCAAACACTCATTCTTTCTTGTTCTAGTTCTAATTAAGTTAGCCCCTTATATTTTTTGAGAGAGAATAGCTTTGCATTTTGTTTTCACACTTATTGTAAGCATTACGTTAAATATATGTATCACTTTTTTGTTAGCAAAATTATTTCCTCTTGGTGGTCATTCTGAGAGTCCTGCTTTACATAAGCATGCTGGATGATTTAATACAAACTGACTTGGATTTTAACAGCTGTGCTATTCCCATAGTGATCACTTTTCATGTGGTCAAGGTATTAAATTTCTTTTGTGCTGGAAAGGTTGCTTCATTGGTACACGTATTTCCTTACAGTAGAAACACAGCATTTACTTACTTGGCTAACTTCTTTATTCGCTTAGGAGAACGTCATTCTCTATTATCTGCAAACCCAACATTAATACTTTGAAATGACAAATCCAATTACATTTTCATCTCTGTGCATGTGAATTTTTCTTAATGCATACTTAGCATAATATTTTTTATACTGACTCATATCATAGTTGTTATTATTTCAAAAAGATTCTTTGGGGCTAAAAATGACTTTTGAAAAATTCTCCTTTCACATCTATGAAGTAATTTTTTCCTTTGGTAGTTTTCAGTATTTTTTCCCCCTGGAACCGAAGCCATACTTGTCTTGATTTAACCACAAATACAGACAGAAAGATTGGGGGCGTAGAATAAGCTCAGCTAAGTAATAATGTTCTTGTTCACATATATATAATATATAGACCTTTAATAAGGCCTGAGGTCTGGAAGAATACAGTTCTTTGCTTCCATGGCAGGAAAGCGGAATCATCTACACGTAAATCATTCTTACCCTGTTTGATTTTAGCTTGGCATATAGCCAGGTGAATTGTACCATTTACAGAAAAGCTATTGAAGAATCTGGAGGGAGGGGAATGGTGAGGAGTTACTTTCATTCCAATTTCTTTTGTTTACCTTGCAAGACTTTCTAAAATGACAGTATCTACCACTGGGATTTCAAAAAACCTTATTGGAAGGTACATGAGTTGTTTTTTGGTTCTAAAAAGGAATTTAGAGCCAAGAAACAAATACATGTATTCTTGAAAGAATTTCTCATAATACATTAAGTTAGCTTGTTATTAGCCTCTCACCTAAATATTTTGGGGGAAAGTTAGGTGTGTGTTTTTTATGTTTTTGTTTTTGTTTTTTTGTAATATTCTATTTTGATGTAATTTTAAGTTGCAAGAATAGTATAAGGAATTCCTGTATAACTTTTACTCCGATTCACCAGTTGTTTACATTTTGCCCCGTTTGTACCTATGGTCTCCCTTTCCTTCCTCCACTCCCCTTTCTCTTAAAACTTTGGGAGTAAGTTGGAGACATTATGGACATTTATAGCTAAATACTTCAGTGTATTTCCTAAGAACAAAAGGAAGGATATTCTCTTACCTAAATAGAATACTCATCAAATTCAGGCAATTTAATGTTTATACAATACTGTTATCTAATCCACAGTCTATATTTCAAATGTTATTATTTGTACCAGTAGTGTCCTCTATAGGTTTTTTCCTCCCAGACCAGGATCCAATTCAGCATCAAACAATTGTATTTAATTGTCATGTCTCTTTGGCTTCCCTCAGTCTGGAAAAGTTCCTTTCTTTGTCTTTGTAACGTCAACATTCTGAAATTTTGCCAGTTATTTTGTAGAATTTTCTTGGATTTGGATTTGCCTAATGTTTCCTTATGATTAGATTCAGGTTTTGAATTTTTGGCAGGGATTCCAGAGAAGTGATGATGCATCCTTGTGTCAGGAGGCACATGATGTATTTTAACCCCTTTGGTGATGTTAATTTCCCCCTTTTTATATTTGTAACTAACTTCCCCAACCGTGAGAAACCTGGCTCCCATTACCCTGGATATACAGGGTGTCTCCCCGCCCCAAAAAGCTATAACAGCTGATAGCTCAAATTTGAAAATGAAATGTATTTTAATAAACACTGCCTTTATAATTATTCAAAGTGTGTGTATACATTTGGGGGGACACCCTATATTTACTCACTTGCTCAAGTCTAGATTACATAAAAAGTAGTTTCAAAATTGCCATCCCATACTACTGCAGAAAGTAAACCTACTAACTAGAGGTTAATTGTGCATGGTTCTTTTTTTTCTAAGTAAAATTTATACACAGTGAAATATGAATCTTAAGAGAATTCTGTAAGTTTTGACAAATGTATCAACACATTTCAATCAATACAGAACATTTCCATTATACCAGAAAGTTCCCCCCTTGTACCCCTTCCCAGTCAATCTTGGTGGAGAGGGGCAGTATGTTGAATATTGTGACTATTCTCTTTCCCTATAAGGAGAAAGCCAGGCACCTTCTGGTGTTTTATGCAACAATAACCTTGTTTCTGGAACCCGAAAGTGGTCTAGAAACTTCTCTCAGCTCTGCAGTCAGGAGCAGGGCTGTGCATGAAGAGACTGTATGCAGAGTATTCTTGCTTTTGTTGCACAGTCTGTCACACACAACTTTTGTGATATTGCAGGAACAGCCTTTTATGAAGAAGCAGACCCCAAACTTGGTTTTCATACCATCTGGGACCTGTCTGCTGCACAGATGTAGCAAGATGAGCCCAGAAACCTGATCTTGAGATTTTTATTAGCAACCCTAATAATATACTCATTCTGGTGTTTACTGTGCAATGGGCTCTTCTGTTGATGGGTTATGATTAAACTTCCCAAAGTGACTTATTAACTTTTTGTGTACATCTGTGTTTGTGTGTCTTGAGGACTGGTAGGGAGAGGGTGGTGTAGGAATTATATATGTTAGCTGGTGTCATTTTTTGGTAAATTATACTTTCTTTTTGCCTTTGTCATAGCCAGCCTACCCATTTATCTTTTGATATTATACAATCCTACGTTTCTTCTGTCATATTTCTTCATAAATTAAAAAGCATGAAGTACACTAAACTCGGCTATTGAAACTTTAAGGAAAAATCTCTGTCCCAAAGCAACCTATTGCCTGAAAGTTCTGCCAATGTACCATTTAGAGGATAGAAAAGCAAATCATAGATTTACAAGGAAAGGTTAAAGTCTTACTGTATGTCTGTTAGCAGACATTCATTTATTCAACTGATGTTTGAGTGCCTGTTGGTTGCCAAAGATACAAAGATGATTAAAATAGCCACTGCCCTTAAGGAATGCTGTCTAGAGGGTGAGACAGACATATAAACCAGTGATGATTTCTCTTATATTGTGATATCCTCTGCAGTCAAGGAATGTCCTCTTGTTATGGTATCCTAGTACCAATTTTATAAACGGGAAAGACCTAGGACAGCCTTGCAGAGAGTGACTTCTGAGTTGATGAGTAGGAATTTCTGGAACCACACAGGACAAGAGGAAG